AAGCTCAAGGTAGAGGGAGCAGTGGATTTAGGTGATGGGGATCGATCGGAGGGATGTTAGTAAAAGTTGGGGTGAGCGGGAATTTCATTTGTGGAATTGTAGTGCTATTAAGGAGAGGATTTATGTGTGAAAGACGGCTTAGCCGCATTAGGAAATGTGATGGAGAAGGTTAAGGATGCTATTAGAATGATTTGGGCTGGTAATCCACTTAAAATTAAGGATGGACTCGGTCCCGGTCCGGTCCCGGTTCCAGTCCTGGACCGGCTGATCCCGGACCAGCCAGTCCCGGTTTCATATATGGAAGACCGGATCCGACCCGGGTTACTACGGACCCGGTTCCGGTCCGGTCTACCCGGCCGGTCCCGGTATGTTCCAGTCCTTAGTTTTTTAAATTTATTGGAGAATAAAAAAATGATGTATATTTATTATAAACACTACATTGTCACTTGTATCAATATCACATTTGAAAATTACAATTGAGAATACTTTCGAGATGAAAATTACAATACTTGAACTAATCGTCGTCGCCGCTTCTGGTGTCGGTTGTCGTTTCCTCCATGAAATGACAGTCCGGTGCTATGTTGACTTCTTGTGTTCTACGGCGGTCCTTCAACCAATCATGGAAGCAAACGAGTATCTTGAGAGATGAAGCTCTCAACCTCGTTCTACAGTCAGTTAAAACGTTACCGGCTTCGCTAAACTCTTGTTCCACGGCAACCGTTGAAACCAGCATCGACAACACTTGTTTGGCCATTTTTTTATAAAACCGGAAGCATCCCTTCGTGTTTCTTCCACCATTAGAGAATATCAAAGTCCTCCGCTTCATTATACTCAACAGGAAACGTTAGATATATAGAGAGCTCGTTAATCGAGCTTTGTGCAATGGCAGGAGTTGATTTACTTTTTTTCAAAAGAGTAGATATTGTTAAATTAAAAAAAACTCTTCCTTTAGATGAGGAAGCACTCGGTAATGGGGGAGGGGGTGCATTACCATATTATGCATGAAACTCATTAAATAAAGCGTGAAATAGATTACTAATCTCGTTAAATTGGGCTTGAGGATCTATAGGTGTGTCTTCGTACATAGGGAATGGACCGTAGAAAACAGTATAATACTACCTCCGTCCCTTAAAACTTTGCCAAAGTTGACCGGCACGGAGAATAATAAAGTAAAAACTGTGTGGTTGAGATTTGTGCAGAGGAGAGAGAAATAATAGAAACCACAAAATAATTGATTAAAAGGGAAAGTGACAAAGTTTTTTGGGACGTCCCAAAAAGGAAAGATGGCAAAGTTTTAAGGGACAGAAAGAGTAGTATTCTAAAAATGTTTTATAATGCGAAAGTTTGAAACGAAGATCAAGAAAGAAAGCAATAGAATAAATAGGCAGAATGTAAGCATAATATTTTAAAACCATTTCTTTCATGAAATCACAAAAATAATGTACATAAGCAGCTTGAGAAAATTCTTGAAAAGCACCGACGAGATTAACAGCTTATATAAAAAATTGGTTGCAAGTTGGTTTATACACACGGGAAAAAGTTTGACTAGCGTTGTTAATGTAAACTAAAATGTTGCGAATCTTTTGCATTGTGTTGATCTCAACCGGTTCTATAATACAATTACAAGTTTCCTTCAAGAAATTAGAAAAATGATCTTTAAATCTAAGAAGCACAAGAATTAAATTATAAGTACTGTTCCAACGAATAGAAAGATCTTTAGGAAAAGCACAATACCTTACCCATTTCGACTTCAAATAAGCACGCCATTGCATTTTAAGTGGATTATTAGCTCAAATCATTCTAATAGCATCCTTAATCTTCTCCATCACATTTCCTAATGCGGCTAAACCGTCTTTCACAAATAAATTAATAATATGACATGCACAACACTGATGAAAATATATACCCATCAAGGTAGACAGGCCACATAATTCACGCAATCTAGGTATAGCAGCAGTATTGTTAGTAGTGTTATCAAAGCCAATAGCAAACACATTATCAATCAAAGAATATTCAACTAAAATACGTTCCATGAGAATATAGATATTATCACCAGTGTGTCTTTCATTAAAATTTCGAAAAGCGATGACACGTTTATGCATTTGGCAATCATCATCAATCCAATGTGCAGTAACATCCAATATGTCTCTTCAATGGTGTGGAAGTTTTGTTGTTGGTAAAATTGGCCTTGGTTTTGGTTCAAGAGCTCTTGAAGTTGTTCATCGGTCATCACATCTCTACGATCATAATCGGTCGTCCAATCATCCCGCAATCATCTCGTGATTGGGACGAAGATGTTGCCCCTACTTGTCATTTACCTTTCGACCGCCCCACCGCCCCGAAGGATGACTTCTCGCAATCTCCTTTGATCGATTGCGTTGGAGATTACCTATATCAACGGATCCCTACCCCGGTCCATTGTCTTAAAAATGTTACAAAAAATACAAATTACAAATTACAATGTCAAGATTACCAATTACAAAATATTAAAATTTAACAAGAATTAAAGTTTAAGAAGTACTACTATAAAACATTTGTACAATGATTAAAATGTAACGAAAATTAAAAATATGACTAACTAATTGAATGAAAGTAGTAATAAATAAAGTGTAGGACTATTAAAGTTTAACAACAACTACAATTTAACAAAAAAATAAAATTTGAAGAACTAGTTAAATATTTAAATCACTTAATTGCAACTACTATGAAATAAAATGTAACGACAATTACAAATGTGACAAACTAATTCAATGCAAGTAGTATTAAATAAAGTGTAGAACTATTAAAATTTAACAACTACAATTTAACAAAAATGTATTTAAAACAACTACTACTACAATACAAGTAAAATGTTAGTAAATGCAACTAAATAAATTTCGACTATTAATGATTATAGTATTAATATATATATATACACACACACACACACACACATATATATATATATACATACATACATATATATTATATTTAATATATTTCGGACTATTATATCAAATTATATATATTCTTTATATTTCGTATGTGTGTGTATGTGTGTGTGTGTGTGTGTGTATATATATAGACATATACATATATATAGACATATATATATATATATAGACATATATATATATATGTGTGTGTGTGTATATATATATATATTAAATTATATATTAATGTATAGCAATAGCTTAATTATACAATGGGAAGTAATGTAGGATGTAATTGACAAAAATGAAGGAAGTAGGAACTAGTTAACTACAACAATGTAGGAACTAGTTAACTACAAGTGTATATAATTAAATATATATGTTAAATATGAAGGTGTATGAGTATATAAATATAATTGTAATATAATATATTTAATAAGAAAGATTGAAAGAGTAGGAGTAAGAATGTAGAAATAGAAATTATAAATATGTATATAGTATTATTTTGTAATTAACAAAAATGTATGAAGTACGAACTAGTTAACTACAACAATGTAGGAACTAGTTAACTACAAATGTATATAATTAAATATAGTCCCTCCGTCCCTAAAAGGATTGCCAGATTTGACTGGCACGTAGAATAATAAAGTAAAAACTGTGTGGTAGAGATTTGTGCAGATGAGAGAGAAATAACAGGAACCACAAATTGATTGATTAAAAAAAAAGTGACAAAGTTTTTGGGACAACTAAAAAAGGAAAGTTGACAAAGTTATAAGGGACGGAGGGAGTATATGTTAAATATGAAAGTGTAGGATTATATAAATATAATTGTAATATAATATATTTAATAAGAAAGATTGAAAGAATAGGAGTAGCAATGTAGAAATAGAAATTATAAATATTTATTTAGTATTATTGTGTAATACTAAATAAATGTATATAAATATAATTATAATATGAGAATATATGAATTATGAAAGATGAAAGTGTAAATGTGAATAGAGTAGAATTAGTGATGGAGAAATTGAAAATTGAGAGTAGAATGTGGGTAGAAGTAGAATAGTGTGAAAAAATGTATAAAATAGTAGGTATATATAGGAAATTTATTTGGTAACCCCCACCCCCAAAACCCCCCAAACCCCTCCCCAACGGCTATAATGCCGTTACTAGCCGTTCCAAACGGCTAGTTTGACCACAGGCCCCTTTTTTAATTTAAAAAAAAACATTGGGATTGTAACCGGGACCGGGACCGTCCGGTCCGGTTCCCATTTGGCTCACCCGGGACCGAGTCCGAAACCACCCGGCCAGGTACCCGATCCAAGACCGGAACTGGAAAACCAAACCCGGTCCGGTTCCGCACAGTAGCGGGTCCGGTTCCGGTCCGGGACCGCCGACCGGGTCCATCCCTACTTAAAATGCAATGACATGCTTATTGGAAGTCGAATAGTGTAAGCTTGTAAGGTATTGTGCTTTTCTTAAAGATCTTTCTATTCGTTGGAACAATACTTATAATTTAATATTTTAATTGTTGTGCTTCTTAGATTTAAAGATCATTTTCCACTTTAGTTCAAGTAATGTAATTTTCTACTTTAATGTATTCTCAATTGTAATTTTCAATTGTGATATTGATACAAGTGACAATGTAGTGTTTAACATAAATATACATCATTTTTTTATTCTCCAGTAATTAAAAAAAATCAAGGACCGGACCGAACTAGGACCAGCCGGGTAGACCGGACCAGAACCGAGTCCGTAGAAACCCGGGTCGGTTCTGATCTTCAATATTTGAAACCCGGACCGGGACCATCCCTAGTTTGGCCACAATCTCTATACTTTACGCACATTATTACTATATCTTATATGCAATTTAGTAAAAGATTAACAGGTGACCGCAAACATTTCAATTACTTATCATTTAGAAATATGCAATGTTAGCCCTCCCAAACCTTCACTTGCACAACCCTCTATCCAAACTGATCATCAAGGGGGTGGAGGGTTAGAGGTCGAACAGTAACCAGAACCATTGTCCATTTCCATCCTGCCTCAAGCAGGTCACACTCTTGATAAAAAATCGAGAGCAAAAAGAAATAATCAGAGAAGCCGGCATCTTGAATTCAAACGTAAGATTCCTTATGTTGGGACTTTTTTCCTTGTTCTCAAACATAATAAAGACATTTCCCTAGCTGAGATCAATGATTGGACCTGATATTCTGATAATGAAAACCGGACAAAGAAAATGTCTCTGTGTACCAAACTACCAACGCAAAATTACAAAGAGATTTCAATCCTAACTCTACACCCTATTTCTGTTAACTAAACAACATTTCACAAACAGCCAAGTTAAATAGCAATTTACTCTTTTTCTCCAATATGATCATAAATCTTCACTTGTTTGTAGTGTGGCCGGTTTTTCGCTTGTGACGACTGAAATCAGATACGAACCTAAACGTTTGGCCGCAACCGGATTCCGTACAAATATAAGGACGCACTCCGGTATGGACCCTAATGTGTTCAGTTCGGGCCCAGGCCCACTTGAACGTCATCTTGCACCCTTTCCATGGACACTTCAAGGGGCGCTCGTCCATGTGGACACGTCGGTGTTGAACCAAATACTTGTGGGAAAAGAACTTCTTCCCACACCCCTTGACTGGACATATGTTCTTTTTGTGCAATTGGAGCTCTTGATTTGACCCAAAACTCATGTTGCAACCTTCCAGGTCACACGAATGTTCTCCTTCCTCGTCAATCGGACCCTTTTTATTAATAGCCTTCTTTGGAACTTTCATTAATGGGCCTTTCCTCACTTTCCTAGGATCGGTTTTCTTCAGCACTGGTTTTGTTTTTATCAGTTTGGTTTCCAAATCATCAACTGGTTTTAGGGTTCTCCTTCTGAGCCGTGTGGTAGGCCCACCTTCAACCTCATCATCTTCATTGACAATGTCGTCAACCCTTTTGTTCTTCTCAGTAATGTTCTTTTGAGGTTCTTCTCCATATGCCTCTTTCTTAATCCGCTTGTTTTTAAGATTATTAGTATTCAGCTTTTCACTAGCAGGGGACCCACCTCTTTTTGTTAATACAGATTTCCTCTTTTTTCTGATCTGGTTACCTTCCATTGACAAAAGAATAGGCTTTCGATCAGGATCGAACCGAGCAAGAAGAGGATGGACCTGGTTTGACATCCAGACTTTCCCGCACCATTTTCCAACAACTGATATTTTCTTATGTTTTGCAGGACCCATCACAATATCATTATCGGATGATGTGGAAGTAACTGCTTGAGAGCTCCGTCCAAAGGCAGAGTAAATGACAGAGTTATAAGACATCTGCTTGCAGTAAAGAGCGGAACGACTGAGGTTGGCACTATAGAAAAGATTGATTCCCAATTTAACAGCCCAATCCCCATTCCCATGTATGGCTTCTTCACTCTCTAAAGCTGACCGAATGAGTTTCTGATCACCTTCAGTGGCTTCGTGGAATGAGTTATCACTCCAAATGTAATCACTTCCAGACTCTCCCGCCAACTTTTTTGCTTCAGCTTCTAGTATGGGATAATCTGTACATAGTTTAGATATAAAAACATTTGTATCTGAATCAATATAATTGTAAAAAGAATGCATAGGAGATTAATGAGACAAACTATTGCAGAAGATAACACACGAACCAAGACCTGATAGATTTTTTTAAGAAGTACGCTGTCTTGAGAAAAATGTACGCAGGTCTAAATTCCAAATTCTAGCTCACCTGGATGACAACAGAGAAAAACGTGGGCCCCTCCTATCAACTGTAGCTGTTTTTCCACTTCCACAGCATGTTGGAGACAAAAAACATGCATTCTGAAGGAATCTTCATCAGACGTCATAGTCACTTCCTGAAAGGGCACCAGGGTGTTGTTTGCAACTCTGGTCTCCTTATGGGCAACAAATGGGGAATAATTCAGCCTAGCTTGATGGGACTTCACATGATCTCCCAATCTACCTTGCAAACCATTTGAAAGCACTGATATTGTTTTATCATCACTTTCCTCATAAACAGAATGGTCAAAACTGCAATGATTTCCAACATCAGGTTTTGCTCTCCTCTGTCTGTGATCAGCGTAAGGGTCAATAACAAGCTGGGGAGGAATCTCATCATCAAGAACTAGCGATCTGCGCTCACAATATTTTATAGATGCATTATCAGCTTCCTCCTCAGAGTCAGAAGAATCACCATAGGTTGAAGCCAACAGACCAAGGGAAGAAATGTCTTTGTGTGTTCTACTAGTGGAAACCACCCCTACCCTTTCATCACTGAGCAACACGGTTTGATTATTGGATTTTACTGGGACATCAAATGAACCATCTTGTGCTCTCCTCGCCATCAATCCTACATTCAAATGAGATGTTAGATGAATTAATATTGCATATGATAACGTGTCAATCATTTAAAATCACAACTGAAGTAATCACACACTAATAATTTTTTTTTATTGACCACGTTTGACTCTACAAGTGTATGGTAAACCTATCTGGCTAGCTTCATGACGATTTCCTGGAGAGTTAGGAAGTTTTTACATGGATCCAGAGATGGTGATCTGTGAGGCATCCACCCACTCCGTTTGCTATCCAACCCGGTTTGGGTTGGGGTAACGAGCAACCTCATCAGTTATGTACTGGGTATGAGTAACATATAAGTGGGTCAGTCAAACCTCAGCTCCCTTTTTGGGTGGGTTAGTACACCTAATTAACACTAATGATACCTGAGGATGAACATAACGTCGGCACATCTGTACTCCCATTAACACCTGGGGTCCTACCACTGGCCGCTCTCCATTGACTTAAGCTCTCGAAGTCAGCTGAGAGCAGACAATGAGCGGCTTCTTTAGTCGGTCGAACAATGGCAACACAAGTGTAACACAGTATACCACAAGTCACACATGAAAACAGTCCATGCTCAGATGACCTGTCGCTGTTATAAGCTCTTTCAGTCGACGCATTGATGTTCCCATTAGATGATCTAACATTATAACATTTGCCAGAAACACCAAGCCTACTGCTTGATGAACAAGATTTTCCTCTAGTTGAACGGACAGCAGATGTTTGTTTCATTCCCTGTTTCCTGCCAATTGACATATTATCAAAACGTAAATCCTTTGTCATTTCCTCTTCGGGCTTTATGTTAAGCTGAGATCCTTGTAACTTTGCAGAATTCCTAGGAAGAAGTACAACCGAAGATCCTCCTCCAAGAGCATGAAGAAGAGAATTGTTTTGCACCAAATCCTGAACAAAGAAATCCTTGACTAGAGTTTCTCCTTCATCTTTCTTCTTCTCCTTCAACCTTGAACTCCTTGGTTCTGATCGCATGTTCCTAGACATACTGCATCAGAAGATTTTGGGGTGGAAATAATGATTCATTATTCCAGTTGAGGGTAAGACCATTACTTGATATGCTTATATTTGCTGACTCCTTATTTATATGGCATACAATAATGTGAAAGAAAACTTCAAAAGGCCACACTAGAATCCTTTTAGAGTTTTCCTTCGATAATGATATCAAAGGGATTTTTAGTAATGGAAACACTATTGAAAGAAAACTTCAAAAGGATAAAATATGATTCCAAATCTTTTACCAGTAGCAAGTAGCAAAAACAGTTTTATATAGACAACCTTAAAGGAAAAATAAATGTTTTTAAGAGACTATTGTTCTACCAAACTTCACTAAAATACTTTAACTAAAGTTCTTATATTGTATACTCTGTATAATTTAGTTACCATACTAATTCCATACACATCTACTTAGGACTGTTATCATTGGAAAGAACCCACTATTAATCACATAAACACATATTCATAATATCATTGATAGAAGGACAAAAAATCAATTAAAATAAACACACACCACACATTCTGACGCACTGACTTAGAAATGTTATTTTTTAAAGGAATGTTGAAGACGACCAGAAGCCAAGTAGCAAAAGCCAGTGATATAAAATACTACGTAAAGAAATTACTGTATAGGGCAGTTGAGAAGATCATGTACATTCTATCAAGACCAATTTGCGGAGAAAACAAACCTTGAACAGAAAGAGAGTGCTAGATCATAGAGCAACTGGAAGTGAGAAACCATAGGGGGGGAATTGATCGATGCCCTACGAATTGCAGCATCTTTTGCAACCCTTAACCATCCAGGAGTGGCAATATTAGAGGCCTCCCCACAATTAAACCCTAAAATTTCAAATTGACATTGCGAAATACTTGATCAACATCCTCCCTAAAAAACTTGCCAGCCTACATCCAAAACCACATTCAACTGTGGCACTATGAAAACCAAACTAAGGAAGATGATTATCTTACCATGACTAAACCCCGAGTGATAAGCTCTTGGAAAGGTGACAACAAATTCTCCAACATCTTGCACCAGCCTGAATCCCACAAAATGCAGTATGGTCAGATTCTGTCAAGGTTAAATATTACATAGAGTAATACTAATTTCTGATGAGAAATTTTAAATTTCCTACATCTTCTCTGGAGAAAGACTTGCAACTATTAGTGTGGTTTAGAAAAAATCTCACGAGGCGTGTTTTTGAGGCTCGCCTCACTCTGAGGTGTTCAAAATAGATATTGAGTCTTACACCCCTATTGCAAGTTAAGAAGCTAACATCCCGAACATTTGAGCTGTGCCTGTACGCCTTGAAGCGTTTCTCTCAGCCACTCATAGCGTCTTTTGAGGCAGATTTTATTTTGCTCAGATATTTCCCGGGAGTGAATTTTGTCCAAAAAAGCTCTAAATCTATTTTGACAGATATTCTTCCATTCTCTTATTTCCAGCAACGTTACAGGTTACAACTTACAATTGCAGCTGTTTTTATTTCTTTTTATTTTAACAATAACAAAAGAAGTAACAGAACATCTTTAATTTTTCCATTTTATTCAAATTGATATAAAATAACAAAATCTCTGGGATCCAGCCATTTCATTTCTGTTTTGCTTATCTTAACATCTTTTTCTGATTTTATTAAGGATGATAAATCATTAAAATTTCCTTTAAGGAGTTAAACATATGAAAGTGGTTTAAGACACATAATTATGACTCACTTTTATGCATGACTGATAATATATTTTTTATTGTTATTTATTTTGAATTGTGTAGAGTTCTGTATAAATTTTGAGGCTTGCGCCTCAAGGCTTAAAAGTGCCTCTTTAGACATGAATACATGATTAAAAATAAATTAATTTCCTTATGCTCCATAATCTAAATATGGAAATAATGAAATAACAGTAGGGAAACTAGGTAAAAAAGCACTGCATAGTAGTTAATAACAAATCAGTATAGGCTGTCTTAGTGGAAAACCAAATCAATACTTCACCTGCAGCATGGAACACCGGAATTAAGCAGCACTTCTGGTGATATCACAGTGGTCTTCTCTCCAAGAGTAGCAAAAGTAACTGCGAAAAATTGAATACTAAAAAAGGTGAATCAAAATGCAAATAAAGAAAACTAACAAATAATTCAGAAAAAATAAAAGCTTGAGATTCCACATTGTTAATACCAGCAATGGAAAGAAATGCTTGATACATTTTATCAGAATGCAGCCCCGAATTTTTTCAAAGAAACTCATAACAAATAATCACAAGCATAGCCCGGTAAAATCCACTTCCACTTTCCAATTCTACTATGAACTTAATTATTCCTTGAAAGTTCAAACACCATTGTCCACTCTAATTTGTATTGACTGCTCTAAGGATATACAAAGTTTAAATATAAAATAGGCGTGATAGAATGAAAATAGAAATCAACAATCCATGCCAGCTATTGATCACCTTATGATCTAAACTTCATTTTAGTTCAATTTAGTTTACTTTTTAGGTCATCTGAAATTTTCTTATTAAACATAGTTTCAAGAAGGTCCAGTGAAGTTTGACCAGCAAGTAACCAACAAATTGATTCAAATGCTAACTATTACGCTATTACTAGCATTAGTACTAGTACTTTGTATATACTTATGAAGAAAGAAGCCAGGTAACTTCAGAGAACTTCGTAAATCTTTATAAATGGATAATAGAAGAAAAAACAATGTTCATTACTAAACATAAATTTTGCTAAAAAATATTTTCTCGACCAAAAAGTTTCCATCTAATATAAACTGGTCCTCCACTTTCTCCCAAAATCATGGGAAAAAGTTTGACAACTCTAGCCCACAGTCCTCATCTCAATTAACACGAAACAAAGTAACACCCTCTAATTCCAACACAGTTTTGGAATCATTCTACTATTCAGCATTCCAATTAGCATTATTAAAAATAACATAGCTCTAACGACATGTTTGGATGGGGGCCTTGGTCTATACCTTAATAAATTGAATGTTTCTAAAAAGGAATAAAAAGCTATTGAAATGTTATATGATCACATATTATGTTATTCTTATTCTTTCCATTTTTGTAAATCACAAATACACACAGAGACCCTCACACACATATACACACATTTATCCCTCCAAAGCTTTTCCCTGCCAGCCCCTCCATCCAAAGAGACCCTAGTGTGGAATACAAAGCAGGGAAAAGTGTCCACAATGCAAGGAAAGGCAGAGCAAATTGACAAAACAAGGAGAGCTCACCAAGGGGGTTGATCTCCCCACCATAGCCATGAACCCGGATCACCTCCTCAAAGGCCACTGCAGCATCTCTTGGAACACCATACCATGTCTTCCCTGCACCAGTATGCAGGTAATTCAAGCTATGCAAGTCATGATCTTCCACATGCCAAGCAAACCAACTGAACATCATAGCAATGTACACCATGGGAGAAGTAACCCCAGGTATCTCTTCCTTCATGAACTTGAGCAAAGAGCCGTTGGCCCTGGAAACTCCTCTCATATTCCACTCTGTCTCTGCCACTGTCACCCCTTCCCCTACAGCCCGACAGGAATCTGCCTTCTTAGGTGCAAATGCCGAACCAGGAATATCATTGGCGTACTCAACAGAGAATGGCTTATCCACTGTTGCCTTCCAGTAAAGGGACTCAACCTCCAAAGGAGGCATCCCCTTCTTGGAGCTCCTCTTGATGTAATTTTTCTCGAAACCTTTGGCTTTGGCCTCAAATTGCTGAAGCGTGTAGTTCTCCCCACTTTGCCACACTGGTTTCTGCACAGGCCGGTGCTTCCTGGGGCAGAACCCGATCTGTTGCTGCCGAGTAGTGAATGTGGGGCCACTGGAGCCAGGTCGAGCAGAAAGCGACTTATTAAGGTTGGAAATAGCGGTTTTCTTTGGCGGGGCCGCGACTGGGGGAACAATTTTGCAGATTCCATACCTTGAGGCTTCGGCCTCGATCTTAAAAATGTATGCAATTGGATCTCTAAACTCTTCTAGGGTCGGATGGTACTCTGGAGCAAGCGGTAGGGTTTTCAGCCATGAAAGCACCTCAGCCCCACTGCAGCCTTCACCCATTAGGTCAGCAACACATTCGCACACGCATATATATGTATATATATCCGGATGTAAGTGTAAAGATCTAGGAAGTGTCACCGTCACCACTTGATAAGCATCATAGCTGCTTTCAGCGTTTAGGAGAGGGAAGAATAAGAAATAACCGGTGGAGATTTAAGAGAGAGAGGTTGAAAATTCAAAAGTGAGATGACCAAATTACTTGTTGCTTTTTATTAAATGACCATGATGATGACGATGAAGTGATACAATACAGATCGATGGATGGATATGGTGGATAGCTACAGACGACAGATATCTATATTTTGCTCTGTTTTGTTGTGTGTGCACGAAAAGAACAGAGGGGAAAACGGGGCGGGGCAGAGTATAGTGAGGTAAGTAAGTGTTACTCTCACTTGTAAGTTGGGTTCTATTCGAGTTTGGAGTTACTTCAGTGTTATACCGCCGTTAAATTTCTCAATGCATCAAATTTAGGGAGAAATCGGGTTGGGTTTTAGCTAGGACAGTAAAAAATCAGAAATCTTTGGATTCTACGTATTTGGGATCGAATTAAGGACCGATAATCTTGGGTTGGCCGGGGGCTCGATAGGGTTCAGACTTAGTCGGGTTGAGCTCCCCTTTAAAAAAACATTTAAAGGGGAAAGACTAGATCGAACAGCTGACAAGGTAGCCGAGGAAGAGGTCTTCTAGGAGAGCATCGACCCCGCGACTGACCTTCGTAACCAGCTCAACTTCAATGCTCAGGACGCCCGCATCGGCCTTGAAGACAGGCGCAAAGAGAAGGGTGATCGTGCTTCGGGACAACAGGCTACTCCATCGGTGGACCCCCGGGTCCAGGCTGCATTATCGTCTATCATCGCCAGCCTAGTACCGATCCCCACCGTCTTGAGTGCCTCATGCCCAAATCAGGGGAGACACGACACCACCACCTCCACCACCACCTCCGCTTGTCACCTTCATCAGCAATGAAGAGGATGTCGTTGCCTAAGACACGGCCTCACACACAACCTCTCCTCCCCGAGCTGGGTCGACCCCCAGACGTGGAAAAACCTTGGCCTTCAACAGGCTAGGAAACACGCACCGTTGACATATATGGGAGAGGATGGCAGGATGGCTAGGGGACCGCAGATCAGCATCACCCAGGGAAAGCTTGGGGTCGGTGCCCCGGACAGTAAATCGGCCTCACCTGGACAAAGAGAAGGGCAAATTGCGTGAGGAAGATGCACGCCACCAAATTAACCAGGCTCACGCGGTCCGCGACCAGGCACAACAGGGAGCCACTACGACCGCAAAGGATCCTCAGGATGAGGTGATTGCCCAACTGGAGAGGTGACTAGCCCAAATGGAGGCCAAGCAGCAGCACGTTAGTGGTGGACGTGGCGTGGCAGGAAATATTCACTAAGACTCCTGTCACGCCCCGAACCTGCCCAGACACGTCAACAACCCGCCGTACAATACGAATAGTCAACCACGGTCAAACACATCCATATTATATAAGGCGTCTCGAATATCACTCACACGTAAGTCATCCATAAACAAACATAATAAGCAATTTAATAAGCAGCGGAAAACATAGTTTGAAAACAAATGCCACACGGGGCAAACATGAGGACGCAGGCTCTATAGTAAAATATCCATGAGCATGTTTATTAATGTTCAAAAACAAAATGGAGGAAACACGAACCAAGTCTTCCCTCCTAGATGATCACTCGAGTAATGAGCACACGAAGCAAGCTCTAGCTTCAACCTGAAATGGTGGTGGGATGCCCCCAAAGGGGTCAGTGCTCTATAAGGCTATAAAGTACTGGTGTGGATGGCATCTAATAGATATTGATGGATAGTCTACCCGGGGGTATATATCCGAAGGGTTATTGCGGGGAATAACTTAGAGAGAAGTCAGAGTAAGCAAGTAAATGTAGAGAGAGAGTGTATTCAGTATGAATGTCGTGGTTTTCAGCGTGGTTACAAATGAGGAAATGGGGTGCTATTTATAGTAGCAATAAATGCCGGACAGGGACACGTGTCGAGCGCTCATTGGCCGAGGGGTCACCTCAACTGGTTGGCGCTGGCAGCCGCATGTGGCCGCATTTAATGCGGCTGTTGGATGGGACGTCTGTGCAGGGTACGGCGATCTGTACGCATGTGAGGCGGATATCTTGTCGAGTGAGATGCCTTCGGCTATAGAGCAGTAGCCGAGGGCTCCTCCAACCGATGGCACCCTGGTGCCGAGGGCTCACAGTGCCGAGGGCTACTGTTTTCGCCGTTTTCTCCCAGTTTCTTAATTTGCTTGAGAAACCCGTTCTGTGAGAGTGTAGAGCCTTCGGCCAGGGGGCCGAAGGCACCCCTGGCGCATAGTGCGGGCTGCTTGGTACTCTGGGCGCTGTGATTTGGGCCTGTTGGGCCTTCGCTGGAGTAGTAGGAGTCTGTGGGTCGGGGGTTCCCGGGCCATATACTCCATCAGGAGTCCCTCACTCCTTTTGCCGAAAGGTACTTGAGGGAAAAGGAGTAATTTGTGCTTGCCCTTTGATGTTGTCCTGTCGTGATCTCTGAAGTTGGTGAGGAGTTGTTGCTTTTATGTCCCTGCCGAAGGCAGTCCCTCAGTTACCCACATGTCGGGACTTGAGGGCTTGCTTTGTCGTTTGTTGGAATTTCACTAATTTTGTAATTTAATGATTTTCCCGAGGGGGTTCTCCAGTCCCCCACTCCTTGAGGCACTTGTAAAGTGGTGAAGAGGAGTAGAGTAGTAGCGTTGCTGTTTGTGGGCCGAAGGCTGACGTTTTTCGTTCCATTTTGGGGGGATGCCTCGTTAAAAACCTCATTAGAAAAAACCATGTGGGAAAAAATCCTAATGAGGGAAAAAAAGTGCACCGAATTCCCCCAATGATGAATCGAAAATGTCAAACCTTGGTCAAAAATGGAGAATAACGGTAATGCCGAAGGCTCTTCCTTTTCTGAGGGCTCATGTGTTGATTAGCCGAAGGATTGCTGTTGATGTCCTGATGGCG